ATTAGAAATGGAACACACAATTGTGGAATAATACACATATAGTCTCCCTGTTTATAAAAAAAAATTCTAGGTCTAGAAGGATTTGAAAAGTGTTTTACAATTTTAAGTAATATAACTAAGAAAAAAGAAATCACAGTAGATTAGACATCCATAGACAAAAAAGATAAGAGAAGAAAGCAGTTACCAGATGTCAGGAAAAGCTGAGGTCAGGAATTACAGCAGCGACAGCTGAGGACTCTCAGAGTTCAAGGCAGGTGTAGACCAGGAATCCAAGGCAGACAGCAGCCTATTAGGATAGACTAGCAATTACAATCCTGCCAAGTGCATCTGACCGGCAAACACTAACACAAGTTCTCTAGGAACTTCTTGTGCCCCACTCAGAGAAACAACTGTCCCCAGGCCTGTAGAATCTTCTGGTAGCTATGAGGCTATCAATTTCCCATACCTAGTTCCAAGGGATGAGAAAAAGGTAAAGTGGAACGCATCATCAGACAGACATAAAATACTCATTCAAACTTGTTGTACTAGACTCTAGAACATTAAGAGAAATTATCCCCAGTGCATTAGCATTATAGAGAATGCTATAAATGAGCAACTATTTCATATACAGTGACTCCAAATAAATACTCTGGTTATTCTTTGAGTCTGACTTCATCTGAAACTATGAAGAATAATGTTCCAAAACCTTGGCAACATTTAAGGTTGTACTTAGTTACTCAGATATGTAAAAATTCCATCTTAAGGTTCAGTACTAGTACATTATACATATGACCTTGATGCTTGAGAATTGTACCACATATGTGTGGTTTCCTTCTCCATAAACTATATAAACAAACACAGGAAACTTTCTACTTTTCCCCATGGACCTAAATTCCAACAGGTTCTGCTTGTTTGTTTTCAACTTCCTAGTCTTGTGTTTTAATATATTGGATATTGAGGTATTCTCTTGTAGTAGAGTACAGTAAGATTACTTCTGGCATTTCATCAGCCAAAGCCTCTAGAATCTTAAGAGTGCTTGTCAAATACTGTTCTAAAGTAAATACAGTTTCAAAGTTATAGACAGGAAATTATTCAGATTAACATGAAACTACATAAATATAAGAAAGCTATGTATAAAGTGAATCAGTGTAGTGCAAAATATGGCTTGTAAGTTTTGCTCTTTATAAGTCATTTATAAATTCAACTATTCTCTCTACCCTCTGTGACCCTTACTGCAGTACCATGTGGTTGGAAAAGCCAACAGCTCTATTCTCATTTTGAAGTATCATTTTTCACATTTGTAAAATGGGAGTCTTATGTTTGAATGGTGAGCAAGTAGACATCAAAATTCAGCGGGATCCTCAGAACCACTCTTAGAAGAGAAACCTCCCCTATGTCAAGTTCTAAAGCTCCTGAAGATACCAACATCCATACATTCTCAGTGTATCAGTTAAAAAACAAAAAAATAGTAATAAAAAATACCTACAGTCTGTAATGGCAAATATAACCTATGTCTAAACCCTCAGATAGTCCATTACCTTCTGAGAGACTCAGAGACCTTTCTTCTCAGCCTCTATAAACTGAGGTTGATGCTACTCACTGAATATTGAGAGATTAACTAGTTAATCCTTATAAATCTCCTGGGAATTGAAAAGTGTGGAAAAATACATAAATTAGTTGCCAGGCATTTTGACTTATCTATCTTTGGAAGATGATATTTTCCCATGTTCTAAGAGAAGCTCAGCACAAAGTTTTTACTTGGTTATTATCAGGACAGAACTCAAGGAAGCCTTTGGTATTAGCACAAGAAGAAACGAAAACCAAAGAGAGGTAATATTGCTGAGACGATGTCAATAAGAATCAGTCCTGGAAGCCTTTGCTCTTCACTGTTAATTAATAAGGATTGAACACCTACTGGGCATCTAGCCTTGAAGTGCTCTTAGCTGCTCTTAGCTTAATGAAAGATTCATTGAATTTTTTAGTGAATTAAATTTTGATTCACGACAGAGCTTCAAAAGGTAGACCAGAATAGGATGGAAAATTAATGCTATAGATACTGGGATTTATTCTGAGTCTCTTCATACTTTCTCGGGACTGATCATTAGCGCAGGTCATCCAGATTCTCAAGAAATAAGGTACTCTGGGATATCTTCGCTGAATTCTGGCTCAACATAAGGAGATCAAAATTCACTCTCAATTCGTATAGCCATAACTGGTCTACTCTAGGAAAACAGAAAAAGGCAAACCATAGTTGAGAAACGAAGAAGAGAAGGCAGGTTATGAGTAAATTTGGGCATCAGGAGTCTCCTCCAGGCCCTTCAGAAGCCCAGGTCTGCAGTTCATTTCAAAAGAAAGAGGCACCAAAATGTCACCATTCCTTGGAATAAAAGACAGCATGAAGTTAAATGAACTCACATTTGGAAACATTCGACTTATGTACTTATTATCTTAGGGAGGCAGGAAGAGAAAGACAAGATGACATTACTGTCTTATTTCTATTTACTAACACTCAAAATTCCTGAAGCAGCAGTTTAGACCTTGCAACATCATTTATAAGGAGAAAAGATGGAAAGAGAGAAAATTCTTTTTTTTTTAAATTTTTTATTGTTATTATAAAGGTGATCTACAGAGGGGTTACAGTCTTATAAGTCAGGTAAAGAGTACATTTCTTTTTGCTTATGTGGTGCTGAGGAATCGAACTCAGGGCCTCAGGCATGCAAGGCAAGCGCTCTACCACTGAGCCACCTTCCCAGCCCGAGAGAAAATTCTTTTAGTGCTCCTCATTATAAAGGCTGTTGAAAACAAATCTGATTTTTAAAAAATTCCTGATCAATACTGCAAATACTGTATATTCTATTACAGAGAACACAGGAATCTACTTTGTAATCAAAGTCTTCTAAAATCAGGTGATAAGAATAAAAAGTCTTCAGTGAACAAGGTAATGGAGCAGAGAATGTCTACCAGAAGAATATTTCCACTGGTTTATTTTGTGAAGTCATGAATGGGATTAAATGCATCAGCAGCATTTGCTGAAATCAGGCCCTGAGCTGGTTTATAGAAATAAGCCACAAGTCATCATTGCAGAGATCAGCAACTTAGTAGTCAGAAAACCCTTGTCCCAGGTAATGATGCTATGTGCTGTTGCACACCCTGAAGCACAGGCTATGTTAGGTATACAAAGGTAGGAATACAGGGGTTGAAGGAACAATCTAGGACCAATGATGGTTGAAAAATACTTTTATTATCTTTGGATAGTTATAGCAAGGAACTGCCATTCAATGACACAGTTTATGAATACAATTCATCTTCATCAGTGTCACCCCTCTCAACATTCCAGAACCAATGATTTTGAGGTATAAATTTTACTCATGACAGAGGATGAAAAGTGACTGCAAAGAAAAGTCACATGTTAGACCTGTGCTTTGTAGGAAATGTGGTAGCCACAAAACCAAGAAGAGAAGAATTGAGCAGAAAGGATCAAATGTAAAAAGTCTCAAAGAAAAGCAAAATTCAAATTCCAAGAAAACTAAAGTAGTGAAAGAGATGGAATGAAGAGGATGAGCTTTAGTCCAATTTGAACAAGCAGAGGCGGATTCTAGCAAAGGGTAGAGATCCTCTTGCATGGCAGGTAGGTAAAGGTAAGCCCTAACTGGTTGAAGCCAGAACCATGTGTTTTGCTTCTGAGTACATGCCCTGCATTCCATCTAAACAAGGGATCTCACTGGCAAACCCCTTAGCTTCTCAGATATGCTCTGCAATCAGTGTGTGCCAGGAAGCGAACGCATATCCTTCACATACACGCAATCTCATTGTGACGGCACAGTTTAGATGCCTGGAGTTTTTTCCTTCAACCTTTAACTTCTGATGAGGACATAGTAAAGCCTTCCCTTCTGCTGTTGGATAAGCATTCTTGTAATATCATCGATTGCTTTTTATTTATTTATTTTTTATTTTATTTATGTATTTATTTATTTATTATGCTCTCACTAGGTACATACTGGAATATAAATTGTCATGTGAGTTCTTTCTTTGTATGTAGAGCCATATTGTTACATAGCAGAGTATTATAAGACAATTAACATAAACAATGAAAAAAAACACACATACACACACACACAAAAAAAAACAAAGATCCTCCAGCCTTAAAGGACCCTAGAATGTAATGAATTCCTGCTACAAGACACAACAGTTCTAAAAAGATGAGTTTGGTTCTTGGCAGTGAGAAGCTTAGTGCGAACCATCACCAAGCAAAGTAACAGCAATGTGGTAGTGAATTCCCAGAAAACAGGGATTGCAGACACACTTTGAGGATGGGAAGAGAAGATAGCATTCAGCAGACCAGAACCCAGCAGCACAAGTAAGGCCTCCAGATGTCTAGAACAAGAAGCAGCAGAGTTCAAGAGGAGGAAATTTCAAAAAAAAAGAAGAAGAAGTAGTATTGTGATGGGCAGGATTCAGTGACGCAGACAGGGCGAAACAGGAAGATTTAAGAATTGTCACTCATTGGTGCTGACTAACAGAGAGGGTTCAGTGGAGCTTTCTAATCTGGCAAAGTGGACAAGTTCTTCAAGATGGCGTCAGTAAAATACTGTTACTTAGGAGTAAATGACAAAAGGTAATGGAGTAACAATAGGAAGCAAAAGGCTTTGGTGCTTTTGTTTGTTTGCTTTGTTTGCTATACAGAATACCTGCAGAGAAGGCATAAGGGTCAAAACAAGAAAGAGAGAGAGAGGATAAAGCTAATGAGGAATAAAGAAGACATCAAGGAATTCTTGACACTCCAACTCTGGTTATCTGTAACAAGGCCTCCAATGTATCTATGGTCTAACAATAAGTCTCCGAACTATAGGTAGGGAGATAAGCCATGGATTATGACCCAAAGTGAGTTAAAACAATTTTGGGTACAAATGCAAGTCACATTTTAGACTTGAGAGAGAGAGAAAAAATGCAAGAGAAACGAAAGGAAGCAAGAGCTGGAAAGGAGACTATGGCCAATACTAACTGCCCAGAACCACACTTACATTTCCAAAGTACTTGTCCAGCAACTCCACATAACGATGTACAATCTCTAGTGTCAAGAGCTCATTATCTTGATTCTCTACTGCACAGCAAAAATATAAGCTAGCATACCTTGAAAAGAAAAAAAATAAAGGAAAAACAGGATGAGACACTAACAACCTAAATAAAGATGGATTTTCCCAAAGAATATTAAGTAGAGTTACTTCCTTACTGACAGAGATGTTCTCCATCCAAGAATGAAAGCATCCACTCATCACCCAAAATACTAGAGGGAATATGTAAAATATTGTGGGAGATTTACATTTCTCATTATTATATGGCTCTCCACAAAATTCTACCTTGAAGGGGTAGGATTTGGGAACCGTGTCCTTGGTCTGGGGCAACCACAGTGTCTGTTCATGCCCCTGTCCAGCTTGGAAACTGCCTTTGTAAAATCCAAATCCATACCAGGTCTCAGTGGTTCACATCTGAAATCCTAGCTATTCATGAGGCTGAGAGCTGAGACATAGTTCAAGGCCAGCCAGGGCAGGAAAGTCTATCCACCAGAAAACCAGAAGCAGAGCAGTGACTCAAGTGGTAGAGTGTCAGTCCTGAGGGGGGAAAAAAAAGCCAAAGGACAGTGCCCAGGTCCTGAGTTCAAGCCCCAGTATTGGCATACACACACAAAAACAATACTAAACTCTTGCCCAGTCCTCCCAGGGGCCCTGCCCTTACTGTTTTACTTCATGAAGTGTTTCTGTCATTCTGTGTCTGTTTCCCAGTCTCTTATCAAGCTATGAGAATGCACCAGCAGAAGAAGCTTTGTCCACCTCCTGCTAGTAATTTATTTTATTAAGTATAAATCTTCAGAGACCCTCTCCTCTCCATCAGCTTAAAAAAAATTTTTCCATGTTATTTTTTTATCTTAGTCCTGAGCCTATTTACACACACACACACACACACACACACACACACACACACACACACACACATATAATTTATTTATTTATTTTTGTCAGTCATGGAGCCTGAACTCTGGGTCTGGGTGTTGTCCCTCGGCTCTTCAGTTCAACGCTAGTGCTCTACCACTTGAACCACTGTGCCACATCCAGTTTTTTCTGCTTATGTGGTGCTGAGAACAAACCAGGGTCTCATGCATGCAAGGCAAGCCCTGTACCGCTGAACCACCTTCCCAGCCCCATACATTTTTGTATATACATACACATTTATACATAATCTTTAAGTAGTCATCAAGGGAGTTTCCATTTAATAAAGCAGGTTATGAATAGAATACATCTTTATCAATGTCACCCCTTTCAACACTCATCCATCCCTCTCCTACCAAGCTCTTTCTTCAGTCTTCTTTTTATTTACTTATTTTTTATTATCTTTAAGTAGTCGTACAAAGAAGTTGCCATCCAACCCATCAGCTCTTATAAACACCCTCTGCCAGGCATTTCCAAAGTATGCTTTGTTCCTGAAAGCTGTGGTATGGTATCAGGTGCAGTTACATTCAGACTCTGCCCAGGGCATCAATGTCCTGGGTCTTCATTTACATCTCAGGCCTGTTTTCTCATTAATAAAGATTTCTTTCTAATATGTTCATGTCCATTCTAAGCAGATGTGGTTTAAAAAAAAAAGACTAGACAGGCCTGTAGTCTTAGCTATTCAGGAGGCTGAGATCTATGGAGGATGGTTCAAATCCAGCCCTGGCAGGAAAATCCATGAGACGCTTATCTCCAATTAACCAGGAAAAGGCCAGAAGTGGCCAGGCACCAATGGCTCATGCTTATAATCCATGATCTGAGGATCATGGTTCAAAGTAAAAAGCCTGTAAAACTTTCATCTACAATTAACCACTGAAAAAAACCAGAAGTGAAGCTGTGACTCAAGTGATAGAGCAAAAAAGTTTAGTCGGTGCCCAGGCCCTGAGTTCAAGCCACAGGACTGGCACATATACACAAAGGCCTTAAGTAAAATTGTGACTCAGTTGGTAGTACACCAGCCATATGCAAAGAGAAAACTAAGTGAGAGTGTTAGGCCCTGAGTTCAAACCCTAGAATTGGTATACACATACAAAAGAAAAGGAGTAGATAGGCTTTAAAGCCAGACAGATCTGGACGTAAGCCCTGGCTCTGCTAATTACTGCCACTTCAATTACTATACTTGGATACTAGTTACTTAAACTCTATGTCCTAGTTTGACTGTCTGCAAATATAACTGATAAGCCAGGAATACATGCTCATGAGACATGTCTTGAATATAATGGTAATAATACATACATTATTAATATATAGTTTAAGTACTTAGAATCCACCCTAACACGTGAAAACCATTTCAATCAATGAGGGTTCTTTGCTTGTTAGTCTGTTAGTACAAACTTTAAGCCCTGGCTTTTAAGGATTTCAGGAAAGGATGGATTTCAGAAAATGGTTGTATTGCGGTCTAAAATGTTCAAGATGAATACAAACCAACACGATATTGAGAAAGTCAGTTCTCATAAAGGTACTCACACCTTTTATAAACAAGTTTCAGCTCCTTCCAGTCAATGAAACTGCTTGTCCGATGACCTCGAGACAGAACAAGCTGAACAATTTCCCGGGTGATTTTTTTCCTCTCTTTGTCAGGGAGAGTGGTGTACCATTTCTGCAGCCGTAATTTCCCTTGTCGACTGAACAGCAAGATGAAATGTATCTAGAACAAAGAAAGGACAGGGAAAGCCAGAACTTGATCAATCAAGTTATTCTCTATAGACATGGAGGTTCTGTGGCAGTGTTTACAAAGAATGCAAGTCTGATCAGATGAGAAAATATTTACCAACATGAGAATCATCTCAACAGATGAAGTACATTTACTTCATCAGAGAAAACAAGTAAGTGTATGTATCACCACCTTAGCATACTCTTATTATAGGGAAAGATGACTTAATTTCTTTCAAGAGTTGAAAACCATCAAAGGGAGAAAACTATAACAAGGCAGTCATGGTAATCCATAAAGAAAATAATCTTCCTTCACAAACAAGAAAAGACAATGTTAAGAAAAATGGATTTACTTTAAGAATCATATCCAAGCTGCATATCCCAACTAAACAAACAAAATGATGATACAGAAATAAAGGGAAAAAAAGAGAACAGAAATTAAGCCAAGAGAGAAAGAGCCAGAAAGGGAGAGGAGACTACCATGTCTTTGTTAGCTCTTCTCCATTTTGTGGTTTGCTTGGCTGAGAGCTTTAGAATCAATTGATCATCTCAAATTACAACTGTCTTGACATCTGGTAGATTTTTAACAACTTCAATAGTTGTTGACGATGCTGATTTTAAAGTTTTGAAATGTGCATTAAAAAATGCAGGTTCACATCTTTAAAAATTTTGAAAGTTTTAAGTGAGGAGAAAGTTTAAATCTGGACATTTGCTTCAAAATCTTGGAATATAGTGTTCTTATTTTCAGACACTGTTAAATGGCCCAATCTTTATTTTATGAAATATTAAAATTTCTCAACACATAGCATTAGAAGGGCAAGCTTGAAATCTCAATTTATCTTGCCCAGCTTTTATTGTGAGGTTTTGTTTATTTTAGACACAAGGTCTGTCTATAAAGTGCATGCTGGCTTGGAACTAGCTATATAGCAAAAGATGTCTTTGAATTCACAATCTTTCTGCCTCTCCTCAAATGATAGGATTTCAAACATATGCCACCATACTCAGCTTGGATTTGATTTTAAAAATAAATACATTGTTTCAGTTGTGTTGAAGGGAGAATATATACTATAAAACAAGATTAACTGCATTATTTTCTGAAAGTTTTTAACAAACTATTTAACTTGTTATTGAAGAGGTTTAACATTACACAGGCCCTCATAACTTACTATAACAAAATAGAACCTGGACGTTCATTCAGAAGTTTCCCCAACTTACAGAATTTGAGGTATCCTTGATAACTAATCTTAGGTTTTAGAAAGAAACATGTTATAGCAAGATTCTGAAGACCAAGATATAACAGAAGATGAGAAAGAAGCCAAGTTTAAAAGTTCTACTCATTCAGCTGCCTTTAGAAAAATCACCCTCAGTCTGGAATTTCAAACATCTGCTTAGATCACTGCATTTTATTAAACACCACTTCCCTATTGGTAGAGGTATGAATAATTAGATAATGTAACACAGTTGCTAACTTCCTAGAATCATATTGAGATGGGTACTTGTTTCAAGAAGAGATACCACAAAAGTGATTATCATTCTCAAAAGTACAGAATTGAATGAGATTTTAAAAATCAGGACCTTGAGAATAAGCCCCTACAGTTTATTACTACCAACAGATGATACTCTTTAACCCAAGGTCTAGTGAATGGTCAGATTTTTACCAGAGAAATGAAAGGCACACAATTGGTAAGTGTTGACTTTCCTTTCCTATTAATTCATGTGTGTGTGTGTGTGTGTGTGTGTGTTTTACACATAGACAGATATAGATAGATAGATAGATATACACAGTTTTCTTCCCATTTGGTCTAAAGCTCTTCTGTTACCATTTAAACCACTTTCTCCACCATAGAACAAACAGAACATCCTCACTACCCTTGGAATAAGATTAACTCTTCACATACATAACGATGGATTTTAAAGGTTTAAGCTCCCTTTGTCCTGGAAGAAATAATCCAAGGTATATACTTTTTCCTTTTTCTCAGACCTCATAATTATCACTGTTGACAGTGCTCTGGGATTTTCCATAGGCTACATGTTACTAAAATTACCATCGATGCTCAGAATTCCACTGAGAATCTGCTGTTCAATAGCCATTTCCTCCCTAGTTCTTCTATACAGCAAAGCAGGTCAAGAACAGGAGGTCTGCCAATGTGAATGTGGACAATACCACAATGAAGAGAACAATGAAGAGAGCAACATCTCATCCTAGCAATGAGAGAGGATGATTGATCAAGACATAGTATACACATTCATAGCACCCATGTGAAATATATTAATGTGCTCTGGGTGCAAAAGAAACAAAATTAATCTAACAAATGCATTTTCTGGAAGATAAAGCCTTTCAAGTTCTGCTCTGAAGGAGAGTGAGCTTGGGACCTGTCACTAGACTTAGCAGTGTAGCTTGTGCATGTATCATCACGTCCTGAAATTAATTTTATTTAATTTATCTATTTAGTCATTCAGGGCATATTTGACTAATACATTTTAAGAGGTTAATCAAATGCCATCTTTGATTAGCATTTGTTAAGAGTAGGAAAAAAAAGTCAAGTGGAAGGTTTTCCAATATTTGCAGTAGTACCTTCAACAAGTAGGTGTCATAAAACACATTCTCTTCAATAATACTGCTGGGGTGTTCATTTTGATCAATCGAAATGAACAAAGAAAGGACAGCTCATTTCAATTTATTGAAATGAACTCAAAGAAATGTGAGATTTTTTTGTTTTGTTTTGTTTTTCCCTTTTGTCTTGTAAGTAAATTTATCTGATTTGGGGAGGGCAAGGGGAAACACAGAAATGGTGGGACAAAGGGTGAACTAATTCAGCAGTAACAGTCACTAGTTACTATGTTGAAAACAACCTCTACAACTTAACAGGGGAGCAGGGCTAGGAGGTAACAAAAAAACTGGGAGAAAATGAGGGAAGAGATGACACTGTTCATAAAGGAATGTTATCATTACCTAACTTATGTAACTGCAACCCCTCTGTACATACATTATAATAAAATTAAATAATAGTAATAATAATGATGCTGGGGTGAAAGGAACAACAGAAAGTCTGGTAACATTCTCCCATCAAAACCAACATGATACATTGAGTGGGGTTAAGGATTATATTCAGCTCAAATGCTTCGCTCAGGTCAGCTCCAGAGTTCACCAAGACTTCTGATCTTCACCTCAGGAGGAAAGAGCTCTACCAGCTGCTATGAGCATGGTCTACCTTAGGCTGGATGATCCCTTAATCCAAAGATGCCAGATGAATTCCTTGTTCTCAGAGGGTCTACTAGAGCAATCCCTGAACACATTTCAGAGAGACCCAAATTCTTACTTTGACCTAGAACTTGAAACAGGGTTTTCTTAATATGGACTTCTGCCCATTTTTTTTTTGGTCGGTCATGGGGCTTGAACTCTGGGTCTGGGTGCTGTCCCTCAGCTCTTCAGCTCAAGGCTAGCGCTCTACTGCTTGAGCCACAGTGCCACTTCCGTCTTAATATGGACTTCTGAAGCACATCCAGTAGGCACCAGGTGCCTTCTGAGGGAAGCACTGGGCAGACCAATACTAACTTGTCTAGTCTGTTGCTCTGAACCAGTGTTTCACGTTCCTTTATGTCAATATGTATAGTAATGCCTTTGAATAGCAACTACGGTCCTCAATGTTTGCAAATCCACCTGCTCCTCACCAGGATCCATGATATGGACCTCCTCCCAGCTTTCAGGAAGAGAAGCATCCAAGAGTCTCTCTCTATCCCCACCACTGGTAACATCACAAGCACCATTGTGACAAGGCAGGCTTGTTTTGGGGATCTGAGCCATGAATATACAACATAGAGAAAAAAAATGGGTCTTCACTAAATCAAAAGCCTTCTCTACAGCAAAAGAACAATTACTAGAACAAAGAGGCAACCCACAATATGGGAGCAAATCTTCACTAGCTATTCAACACATGAAGGATTCATATCCAGAAATTTCAAAGAGTGCAAGGAAATCAAACAGCAAACAAAAATAGCCTAATTAGGGCTGGGAAGGTGGCTCAGTGGTAGAGCGCTTGCCTCGCATGCATGAGGTCCTGAGTTTGGTTCCTCAGCACCACATAAGCAGAAAAAAGCCAGAAGTGGCTCTGTGGTTCAAGTGGTAGGGCACTAGCCTGGAGCTGAAGAGCTGAGGGACAGCGCCCAGGCCCAGAGTTCAGCCCCCATGACCAACAACAACAACAAAAAAAGCCTAATTAATAAATGGGCAAGTGATTTTCTTTTTTTTCTTTTTTTTTTTGCCAGTCCTGGGACTTGAACTCAGGGCCTGGGCACTGTCCCTGAGCCTCTTTTGCTCAAGGCTAGCACTCTACCACTTGAGTCTCAGTGCCACTTCTGGCTTTTTCTGTTTATGTGGTAGTGAGGAATTGAACCCAGGGCTTCATGCATGCTAGGCAAAGCACTCTGCCACTAAACCACCTTCCTAATCCATGGGCAAGTGATTTTAATAGGTAGTTCTCACAAGAAGAAATGTAAATGACGAGCAGATATATAAGGAAATGTTCAATATCCTTGATCATAAAGGAAATGAAAATCAAAACCACACCGAGATTTCATCTCATCCCAGTGAGAATGGCAATCATCTAGAAAACAAATGACAACATGTGGGCCAGAAAGGGGAAATCCCTCCTACACTGCTGGCAGGGAATGTAAACTACTAAGAACACTATGGAAATCAGCGTGGAAGTTCCTCAAAAAAAAACACCCTAGTATACATTCTTGGGCATTTATTAGAATCTAAATCAATACACAAAAATGAAACCTGAAAACCCATGCTTACTATAGCTTTGTTCTCAGTGGCCGAGCAGTGCCCAACAACTGATGAATGAATAAAGACAATGTGGTACACATATACCATGGAATATTACTCAGCCTTAAAAAATATTATCATTTTCAGGAAAGTGAATAGAGCTGGAACTTATCACATTGAGCAAAATAAACCAAGCTCAGAAACTGAGTGTGTGTGTGTGTGTG